AGCCCCCGATCCCCGCTCCCGCCTCGGGGTCTCCGCCGGAGCAGCGCGGGCGGACGAGCCCTGTCCGCTCGCTGGAGATTTTTTGGAAGGAGGGGCAGCAGTTGCTCTTTATTTCTTACACAAACCCTTTAAAAAAATTATTCCTCTTCCTTGGATCTGTACAGGAGTCTTTACAACTTTCCTGTCTAAAAAGTTTCCTTTGCCATTAACTTTTTTTTTTTTTTTCTTTTTTCCTACATCCCCCCCCCCCCTCTCCCTAATTTCCGAAGGTAACATCAGGCTCTAGGGTTTTTGGTTTGGTGGTTTTTTTTTTCGTGCTGAGGTGTTGGCTGTAAAAGTGGGTGTCCGTGGTGGGGAGTGTGTGTAAATCGGTGCAGTCTGAACAAAGCCACGGCAGCGATCACTTCGCTGTGGGATATTTGGAGGGGATCTCGCCAATCTCCGCGCCTCGGCTGGTATAGAACAGAACCAAAATGGAGAAGTTGGTTCTGACTTAAAAAAATAATACTCCTGTCTCCATTCCCCGCAGCTCCAGCCTGCAGGGCTGGCACCAGACCATCCGCAGCCAGAAATCAGGCTGATTTTTTTTTTAATTATTTTTTTTAATTGAGAAGGGAAAGTTTTGGAGTTGGGTTTAAGGAGGGAGGGAAATCTGCCTCGGTGATTTTTACAGCATCGTTTGTGGTTGTAATCCTGGGAGATTGATGAACCAAAGGGATCGACAAGATGCACCTTTATTCTAGCTACCAGGAGAGCGACAATCGTGTTTTACTGCAAGGAATCGTCACCGGCTGGTGGATGAACCGGGGGTCCCTGTGCTTCAGACACTCTGATCCTGTGTCGGGCTGAGCTCGGTGGGGCTGCGAGCGGGTAAAGGCTCGGTGTGCCTGGGCTGTCTGTGGGGAGCACCGTGGGCCAGAGTGCTGCTCCTCCAAGGGGTCAGGAAGCAGGGGATGTGCTAAGAATTTTTTGACAAAAAGCAGGAGTGTCACTGGAGGAAAAAAAAAAAGAAACAAAACAAAGCCTAGCAAGGGAAACCGTTCTCCTGTCGGCTCCCACGAGAACCTGTGCCTTGCTCTCCGGAACAGCCGTAAAATTGCAGGGAAAACAAAGGTGGTATTTTGCGATGGTGGGTGAGGGGTGGGGATTAGGTCATGCTATGGGGGGGATCCGAGTCTGGCTGCTCAGCGAGTGAGGACTGCAAAATCCCGGCTCAGACATGCCGCTCACAATGCGAGCCGAGTGGTGAAGTTTCTGTCTCCAGTCCTCTTGCTGCCGTATCTGTGTGCTTTCTAACACTCGGGCTGCGATCAGGGTTTTGGATTCTTTCGTGCAGTGTTATCTTTCCCTTCCCCCCTACTCCTTTTTTTTTTTTTTTTAAATTTTTTTTCCCCCCCTCGTAATGGCAAGTTAGCAGCAGTTTGCTGTCATGCTGGAACTATTCCTGTCTAAGTTGTCCTCTCTTTCTGAGTTCGGATCATCCTCAACACCCCCAGAATCTTTTTCAATGAAAGAACGTCCTCCTCTGAATCCAAAATGGGCTCTCTCTTCCCTCCCTGTCTTCTGCCATTATCCTCACGCACCAGCTCTTCCTCTAGCTAGTGGTATTGCCAGCACCGTGGCCTAAGGCCAAGGGAGTTAGACAAAGCAGTCCTTGCAGTTGCACATATCGCATTCAGAGTGATATGACTGCAAATGGCCCCCTCCTTTTTGGAGCTTAATTCTGAGTTGCAGGAGATTGTTTCTCTATTGTGCTTAAATTAAATGCCCCCCAGCCAGGAGGAGAAATCCTAGGTTTGCTTCCAAAGCTGGGGTGAAGGACCACCACCCCCGCCCTGTCCTGCAGAGGGGAGGAAAACAGGAAATCTGTCCCTTTTGGCCTGAAATCAGCCCTGCAGAAACCTCTCTGGATGAACGCTGAATATTTTGGTCTCGGCCGACGGAGGGCTCTGGGCAGCTGTGGATCTCGCAGGGATTTTCCTCTGGGAGGTAATGCTGCTTTCCTGCAGTGCAGGGCTTCTGGTGCAGGAGTGTTTGGGAAGGCAGTGTCGACTCAGCTCTGGGAGCTGCATCCTTGCTGCAGGGCTAACTCCTTTCAAGTTTAGGCTGAGAGTGGCCACTCTGCAAAATCCTGTTTAAACTGCACTCAGTAAGTGGATCAGGGAGATGAAGCAGCTGTGGTTGGTGGGTGACTGTGCTCTGTTCTTGCATGGGAGCATGCTGGGGACTCAGAAACCTGGACTGAAGTCCTGAGGGAGAGGAACTGTTTGGAGGCGAGGAAATACAGGGAGGAAGCCTCCGTGGGTTGTCGGCAGATCTGGGGATGACTGCGGGTGAGGAAAATGCAGCTGCTCCGCAAGTGACTCAGGATGGTGGAAGCATCTGGGTGCTGACTCCTCTGTCTTACCCCAGGCTGAGGGAAGAAGAATATGTCGTTACAGCAGAATTTGGTGCCTATTCCCCTTCCCCATTGCCCAGGTCAGTGGTGACACTTGGCCCAGGGTGTCTGCAGGAAGGCTTGCAAGTGTTGTGTCTGAATTATCAGTCACCTTCCTGGAGGTACTCTGGGAATTGGGCCCTTGCATGTAGCACCCCAGGCTGTCAGTTCCAAACTGTGCTTGGTGATTCCTATTTCATCTCCTGCACAAGCACCCTCTCTGCCTGGGTGGTAAAAGTGCTCTGTTAGGGACCCACAGTGCTGCAGCTCTACCTTCCCAGCCTCACCTGACCCTGCAGTGTCCCAGGGACACCTCTGCTACCCTTTCTAACAGCCGTGTCTTCATTTGTTTGTATTCTCTTGCTTATCATACTAAATCCTGCAAAGTAGTTTCTTCCTTGTCTGTCTTGTGTTTCATATTGTTTGACTCTCTCTGTAAGAGGGCCAGCTGCTGAGCTGAGATGAAGGAGAGCATCTCTATTGACTTCAGTGGAATCAGAGAGATTTACGCCAGCTGTGAACTGGTCTGTAGTTTGTCTTTTCCCTTGTTTCCATGTGTTTTCTAGCTCTGTGGATATTCACCAGCATTCCTGTTTTGTTCAGAGAATGCACAGGTCAGAGTAAAGTAGTTTTAAGATACAGAAGCCAGCAGAAGCAGCTTGGGATTTTCCTTTGGTTTTATTCTAATTCTTGGAGAAATGTCAGGTTTCAAGAGAAAACCCTGTTCCTGTAATAAAGCTTGAGAACTGTTGTATGTAGGATCTAGAAAAACAAATTCCAGCAGACTGTGACAAGGGAAGGAGCTGTGTCTTGGCTCTACACGGACAAGTGGGGACCTGTACAGCAGGTGCTGCTGTAGCTGAGGACAACAGGGCTGTTGGTGCACCTGCCACACCTCACAGCAACCAGAAGTTTCGTGGTAAAAGGTGAAAATTCTCACTGAGAGGTGAAGCAAAAATCATTCCCCCAACTGGGGCTGTAGCTTGCAATTGGAGAGATTGATTGCATTCAGTTGTGAGAAATTATGCCAGGCCATTCCTTATATCATTAAGATGGCAGTACAGACTTGCGTGAGCAAATGGCTTGCTTGTCACCCTTCACAGAGACAGCTTATGTTTGATCTTGTTGTCCATATTGAGAGGTTGTTTTTGGAGTGGGAGTACTGGAAAGAATACTGTTTGCAGGCAGAGCAGAGAGCAAAGTGTTAGTGCCTTAGCAGGGGGTAATTTCTAGGAAATATACTCCTCCCTCTGATTCAAACTGAAATTTGCTGGTTCCCTGGTCTCTTGAAGTCCATGTGAAGTTAAAAATGGTCTGAAAAGAAGCATGCTGAACATGTTTCAGCATTAGCAATTTTCAAGTGGACTTGTTTGGGCATTTAGGAAACTGGCATTTTTGGCTTTGTCTGCCTGAGTGTTCAGCTTCAGAGCAATGGTGCGGTTTTCATAATCAGCAAATCTCCTCATTGTCCCCACCCATCACATGCTGGTTGAGTTGCAGAGTGGTTTTGGATCATGCTAACTTGATTCCTTTTGGATAAATGTGAACTAGAAGCTCTGCTCCAGTTGTGTGACACTGATGCTCCGTCCCTTTGAATGGCAACACAAGGGTCCAAACCGAAGATTGGATAGCTTTGAACCATACCCACGATACAGACACTTAGTCTGGGGGACCAGACTAAAATCTAATCTGAAGTCATACCCTCTCACCCCAGCTGCATGTGGTGTACATGTACCAAATGCTTTCATCTTTTGATCCTTTCCTTGTGCCAAATAACTTGCTAGGGTAGAAATAGCCTGTGTGTTAAGCTAGAAAAGAAGAATAGTGGGGAGTCCAAGTGACTGTCTTTTGTTTGAGTTAAAAAAAAAAAAAAGGAAAAGATGGGAGTAGGAAGAGGAGACATAAAACATGACCGTTATCCACATGGAAAGATTAAATAGAACGAGGGTACTAGAGGAAAGGCCCAGAGTGTGACAGATCAAAAGAGCAAAGGCCTCTGGCTGTTATGATAAAGAATGTCCTAGTTCTTGAGAACATATTTATGTGTGTGTGCTCTGGATTTTTTTATAAAGGAAATAGTTTTATTCAAAGAAAGGTCTGTTTCTACCACAAGGGCTGTTTAAGGGGGAAATAGTGGGTGAAAACGTAACTTTTACAGCCAGGGCTGTAAGGAATGTTCTGTGCAAATGAGAACGGGGTCCATTATTTTGAATTAAAAAAATGATTGGAAGGTTGGGGGAAATGGAGACTGCCTGTTTTTGCTCTGGGCTGGCAACTCCTGTAGAGCTCAGTGTGTGGCTTGGCTGTGCAGTAGATCTGCTTGCGCAGACATGCATGTGGTGTCCCATGGATGGCAAGGAGTTAGTGTTGAACTTAAGCCAAAGCGCGTAGAGGGCTAAGGAATCAAATATTCTTGTAGTCAGCCAAAGCACTACGACTGTGATCCAGGCTGTGTTTGAATACTGGCTGCAGAAATGGCTGTGCTCGTTGGAGGTGTTACCTCCTCCCTGTGCTGGGAGATACTTGCCTCTCAATGTACGTTGGCAGAGCAGCTGACACGAACGTTTCTCGTGTTTTGTCGCAAAGTTGTCTGGTTTAGGACAGAAGAAGTTAAATATCCTTTCAGTTAAAATATTCCAGCCTGGTTGTCTCATACTGCGTGCCGTCAGGAATCAAACTGCTGTCATCTGAAGCAGAGGAGGAATGTCCTCCAGTGGTGGGGCAGAGGCAGTAACCTCCAGCACCGGGCTCTGTATCAGAGGTGATGATCACCAGCCATGTAAATGGAACAGCCTTTATGTTGCAAACAACCTCAGCTTGAAGAGACTGTGAAATAGAGGCAGAAGCAGTGAGATTTCACGGACTATACCTTGTACCTTGGATAAACTCCAGGCTACAGGTGTCTCTTCTTATACGCTGTCATGTTCATGTGTAGAAAGAGTTTGTAAAATGGCAGGAGTTCACCTGTGCTTTTATAGCACCTTACAAAGTACAGGGTGGCAGAGAAACATACATCCAGTGGGGCTGGCTCTTGACTTGTCCAAGTCAGTTCTACGTGAGTTACTCAGCGAGTTGAGTAGCTGTTCCTGATCTTACTTAGTGAGAGTAAAACAGGGTGGCAGCTGGGCTGTGTAGGTGCCGTGGCATCCGCTGGGAGCGGATCAGGTGAGCGTACCCCTCTGCTCTCACTGCTTCCTTGCAGGGTGCATAGTAAGCTGCTTTTCCACTTATTTTTCCAGCAAGCAGCAGCAATAGAATTAACAATTAAAACTTAGGCCAGGAAATTGGTATCGCTGCCCAGGCTTGGGGACATTAGCAAAGGAGCTGAAGGGATCCCTACAAACTTACCAGAAATTAATGGGAAGATTCCTGGTCAATGGAAGTTTAGGCAAAGATTGATTTGAGATCCTTTGTCTCCCAGGGTGTTAATTTGGGCTCGGAGAGGCTGGTGGAAGGAAGATATTTTTTCACCAAA